TAATGTATCCCTGTGGTACAAACATATTTTATTGTGGAAAAGCTTATTGGTATGTATTTGGAATTAATGAGGTATTCTCTCATATCAGGGCCTCAATTAGAAATTAGAAAAATAGAAAAATATATATGTACATATATGTTTTTCAAACCAGGCCTTCTTTAGGATAATTATTGGGTTTGTTGGGGGATGGGCCATTGAAGTTGAATCTGGATGTGGCCCGAGGCTATCAGACCCCATAGATAATAAAGAAAAGCTAGTCTAGTGGGATGGGAGTGGCCCTAGGAGACTGTTGAACCTGGTGAAGGGGTTCAGAAAGAGAGAAAAGGTTTTCGTAATAATTAATTGGGTCTGGTGCAAGTTTTTAATATACTGCTTACATATTTCTGATTTTTCTTATGTGATGTAATCTGGTAAGCAGTTGTATTAGTTATGTTGTTGGAAGAGCAATTCATTTTATAACCTAGAATGTTAAATTAAGAATTGTGCCTTCAGAGAAAAGAGAAAAAAAAAGAATGGGTAAAGGCTTTTGGGGTATTCTATATGACCCTGTTCTGTAACACTTCCTTTTTAAGTACTATAATTTGAGAAATGAGAACTTAAAAAAGTTTTCCTGTTTAAAGGAAAGTTTTAGCTGGGATTATTTGGCTCTCACTTATGAAGTTTAAAATTGTTAACTAAGCTATTTGGAGTTACTGTTTAAGTGAATTACTGGTAGAAGTATTTTTGTGTGTGTAAAAAAACTATGTAATTATGCCAAGAAAGATTTTGTAAAATCTCATAATTCTTATCAATCCTGTGCAGGAGTTTTCATCTTACTGATTAAGTGGCCCATTGCAGACACCTCTGGACTAAAGAAATTAGGTAACTAGGAATTTTATGGTGATAATCATTTAAGATCAATTTAGCCCCAATAAGGGCTAAAGAACTGATCTTTTCTTCCTGAGTGAGCTAAGAATGCAGATCAAGGGCATTCTTATGTTTATGACCACTGAGGCGCCTTTAACCCAGACACTACCTTGATGGTGGTAAAGGAGACCCAGATGTCCTGGATCTGACATTTGCCTATCTTATTTAAATTTCCTTTCTCATGCTTAGGTTAAACATTTGGAGACCATGAAACTGAGTAACCCAGACATCCTGAGTCAGGGTGGAATATCACTTATCACTAGCTTGTGGTCTCTTTAACCAATGTTCAGGTTGACAATGGTAATTAGGAAATTGTAAGCTGTTTTTAAGAAAAGGAGATACTTTTATGAAGAAGATGTTTTGATGAAGTCTTTGATATTCTTTTAGAGGGCCCACTAAATTTCTATTTGCAAGCTAATTTGTTGCAGTAATAATTTATTGTTGATGAAAATTATGTTCAAATCTCTTATGAACTTAAGAGTTTCATTTCTGGGTTTGTTGTGTCCTTGGATTGGACTTAACTGGGTGCTTTTAGAGAAACAGTCTCAATGGGAGCAGTGTCAGAGATCTAAGGCTAGTGATTAATACTAAAGCATATAAGCTGTAAGTAGGAAAGATCTTACTGTTTTGATCTGAATTCATTCCATGGCCTAGAAAGAGCTAAAATTACTATTTAAACTTATATGTATAAGATTCGAGTCCTGAAAGTGTCTCATTCTTTCAGATTAAGGATGGTTAGAGAGGGATAGATAAGCTTGAGAAACAGAAAGGCAAATCTATTTGGAGTAGCAACTTATGATCTTAATGGAAATTTGATTTTACTTAGGATGTATTAGGAACATCCTAAGTCAGAACATGTGTAGGAAGTTATGCAAGCTACTCACTTTGGAGATGTTCCCTAATTAATGTGACACTATAGTCACACCTGAAACTCTGATGAGGGGAATTTGCTATCTAAGACCTTGGAATCTGTTAATGAAATATTATTTTGAGTCTAAATCCAGGTATGGTTAACAACAAACTGATTGAGCTACTGACCCATGACGTCAGCAACCTGCAAAGAGGTTTGTGAGCTGCACCTATGAGCTGCAAGAAGGTGTTCTCATGGGAAGGTCAGGAGAACGACTTTTCTGCATGGCTGAGGTAGGATTCTCCTGACTCAATTTCCCCACTGACACCTGGCAGACTTTAAACCTGGCTCAATGCAGTTGGTCATTATATAACTTCTGCCTGGAGTTGACATGGATCTAGGGAAGCATTGTTCCCTTACTTTAGTTATGTTCTTTCATGGCAAATTCCTATATTCATAAGTTTGTAAGCATAAATATTGAATCTATTAAGCAATAGATTGATGTGGAACATCTGAGGTTATTATAGTAAGATGCAAAAGATTGAGTCATTTGGCCTAGAATTTCAGAATTACAGAATTCCTGTATAAGTCAGGATCCTTTAATTTCTCGTAATGGTTATGATGTCTGGAGGTTTGGGGGTGCTGGGACTCTAAGGTCACAGCACAAGGGTCCCTCATGAAGAAGTTCAGCCCAGGTCTTTCAGCCCATAAGGAGGAGCAGGCATGAGAAAGTCTGCATTTTATATAGGGGTCAGGGTGGTTCTAAAATAACTTTGAGTGACCAGAGGAAGGGCTGGGGAAAGGGTCTAGGAGAGAATTCTGATTGGAATGTCTGAGAGATGAATAGACAATGGAACAGATAATGAAGGGAACTGGAGGAGGAGGTTAGAAAGGCATCTGAATAAGATCAAGAAGTGGGGCCAGGGCTTCAAAGGAAGATGGGGAGCTGGGGCCCTTAGACAAAGGAGAGCCACGTTCTTTCTGGGCAAGGCAGGGGTCGATTGGACCCTTACCCCATCATTAGGGGATAATTAGGCCAGGAGATTGTGGAACAGGATATTATTCTGTTATTTAGTTAATACTTAGTTAATGTTAAAGTTATCTCAGTTTGTTACAATTAATGTTAAAAGAGGAATAGCTTATGGCTTATCTTGTAAATGCCTTGAAAGAAGCATCTACTTTAAGGATTATTTATTTGTACATGACTAGAAGTTGGGATGGTTTTGTTATTTGATATGTACTGGTTTTAAATTAACTACTGTGTATTGCAGTGTGTTATTAATTCCTTAGTGGAATCTCATCCTCCTGATGGGGGAATATGAATAGGAATGAATAATGAACTAATGCAAGGTATAAAACTAGAAGTAATGCAGAATGTAAGGCTAGGTTCTAATTTTTTTTTAATTTGAATGTCTTGAAACATGACAATTGGACAAAGTTCCAATTTTGATCTTGTAATGGTGAAGACATAAGGTTGAGTTAATTTTCATTATTTGCCCTGGTTATTGGCAAGGTAATTAAAATTGTGTTGAGATCAATCTTGTAGGAGAGTGATACAAGAAGAAGGATCTCTGCAGGAGGAGAGTCTGCTGGACACGTTGAACAGCACTTAGACAAGAAGACTTCTGGATGATGTCCAAGTGTCAGACAGTGGTATGAGAAGAGACTTCTGAAGCTTTAAATGGACAATTTATCATTACTTTTGAGTCTCTGTATCTGTACTTAATAAGGGGACTGCCCTCTTTTTAATTTGTCAATATTGGTCAACTTTTCCCTTCCTTCTCTCATTTTGTTTTAAGTCCCCAAAATCCCTTGATGAAATGTTGCCCAGCAGCACAGTCTCAGGTAGAACCATCACTAAGGCATTGAAAGTGATGGTTAGAATCCTGGTTTGGCAAATGGAAGGGAATAGCAGCATCCAGAACCGTAGCTGTGGGAGTTTTAACTGCAGTAAAGTGTTGCATCGTCCCTTGTATCGAGGACTAGTGCAAAATTATAGAAACACGCTAACTAAAAGTATCCCAATAGGACTGGCTATGGGAATTCAGGTAACAGGATCAGGTGGAGGTAGGATGATGATTGAGAGAGTTAATGATCATTCCTCCCCTCTGAGAAGAATGCCAACTAATGTTAAAACTTTGAGGAAAGACAACAGGAACAAAAAGTGTGGAAACATAATTCTTATTGAGAAGAAGAGGAGGGAATTGTTAGAGTTAGAAGGGCTTATGTTTCCACAGGTAGAATAATGCAGAGATTTAAAGAACAACAGCTCCAGGAAGTAGTACACTGTAGGTGGGCTCACGCTTAGCCAATAAAAAGTAAATTGATGGTTCCAAAAAGACCCCCAAATCAAGATAAGGGTCAAGCCAGCTCAGACCAGGGTCAACCTGAGGACACCTGAAAAATGTTAGTGCACCTGCTTAATGAACTTCATTACTATTATTTGACACACCCTGCATAAAATTAGAGCCTCATTAATGAGTCATGGGACGTATGACCAAGGGAGGGGAAACATACTTGAGCATATCAAGGGGAAACATGTAAGGAAACCTGGGAAGGGATGGACCAATCCAGGCCTGGGAGGTTTCGTGAATTCAACTGCATAAAGCACACTTGCCCTTACACTCAGGGCCCAACCCTCCTGAAGAGGGGTGGAGCCGGCTTCTGGCCAGAAACGTCTAAATCCCCTGGACTTTCTTTATAATAAATTTTCTTGTCCAGCCTATTTCTAGCACTGGTTACTGCTATAAAGGACAGCAATGCCCTCTATTTGGTTACACTGTAACAGGGGTGGGGCACCTGCAGCCTTGAGGCCACATGTGGCCCTCCAGGTCCTCAAGTACAGCTCTTTGACTGAATCCAAACTTCTAGGCTGCAGGCTCCTCGCCCCTGCACTATAAGCATACAGTAGGGATGTGCACAGCATTCTACATTCTCCCAGCTCTCTGGTACTCAGGAAAGGAATTTGCCACAGTACATAGCCACCATTTATGGTATTAAAGTCCTGTATTGGGTACTTGTGTCGGATTATATTTTTGCCACAGTGGAGAGCACTTCATAAAATACCATGACCTGAAGGGACGCCTTTAGTTTCCAGGTTTTTTTTTTTGTTTGTTTGTTTGTTGGCAAACTAGGCACAAAGAGCCCAGAGGACTCAGAAGTTGAATTAAATAGCTATTGATTTAATGTAGCAAATCAGAGAGATATTTGAGAAAGCATACAAAGTTAATTAAGGAAGACTTACGACTGTCTGGAAGCAGGAGTGCAATTGTGTTAAGAAAGGAGGTTTGTCTAGGAGAGCCAGTACTCTCTTTTCTACCATCGTGCATTCAACATCATCATCTTGTATCACCACATCTTTTTTCAAAATTTTGATCGCATATAGTTCTTCTGTCCCCTTTCGGTCAGCCAACATCACCTAAACGAGGAAAATGAATAACTTGGACATCTCTGCTGGAAAAGAACTGTGACTTTTGAGAGGTTCAAATTGCAACAGAGCAGTGGATTTGACTTACATTTTTACAGTTTGTCTAAAGCTAAGAACAAGTCCATTTGCCAATTACACTATACTTCTATCGCTATATAAATGATAGCATTCTAAAGTATCTGGTCCTTTGAGACAACAACAGTGTAACTGAGGTGGAAAGGGTGGAATGGTGGAGTGGTATATGTTCCTACAGTCTTCTAGAGGACCTTCAACCACTTAAATGGCTTTAAGGGACATTACTGGAAATAATGGATGGCAAAGATTTGAGATTCAAGAAGCCTGGCATGGGCAAAGCTAGGAAAGAAACTATACAAATATAGCTAAAAAAAAAAAAGACGGTAAGCAATGTAATGGCCCAATAAAGGAATGACCAAACATGAAAAGAATGCCAGGTCTCATGTTTGGAAAGACTAAACAATCTGTCCATGTGGTAAACAATATCAAATCTGTGAAGTTCACAGCTGGTGTCCTGGTGTGGTGAGGCAGTGATAACCAGGAACAGCACCAGGAGCATCAGGGCTATAGAAAAAGTAATGATACCTCTTAGCTTAGTTTTTTTTCAAGTGCTAACCATGCTAAACTTTTTTGCATCCCCTAAATTAGGGTTGCCCATTACTAGCCATTTAAGTGGTAGAAAATCCTCTAGAAGACCTTTAAGGCCTTGTAACTAAGAAGTAAGGGTGTACTAGTAGGAATGTCTATCAGAGTCCTTCACAACAGGGAAGTAACTTTTTTCATTAAAAGCATCCTTGAGAATTAACTGGCTTCGGGGACTAAAGCTCTTGCAATTGATGCAATTTCCTGATCACCTTAGTATAAGAAGGAATGAAAAGGCCCTGAGACTTCAGACCAGCATCATAATTAACACTGAGAAGTTATACTTAGCTGAATCAACTGTTACTTGCCTAAAATTTACTGAAGTTCTAAAAATTCTTTTGAGGATGCTACAATCTAGCTTTCATCCTTAACTTGTACTCTCTGTCATCCCCATGGCCAACCTGTTGCCAAGTCCTGTCATTTCTATCTTTGTGACACCTCTTAATTCTACCTTTATAACATCCCTCCAATATGCTCCCTTGTCTCCTCCGATACTCTCACTCCCGATACGGACCCCTCTGCACCTTATATCCAGACCATTGAAATAGCCTACAGATTGGCCTTCCTATCTCAAATCTCTTCCCACTCTAGTTCACGCCCTACTCAACTGTCCAAGTGATTTTCCTAATGCATAGGTTTGACCATGTCACTCCCCCTATTCAATAAACTTTAGTAGCTCCCTGCCTCAGGATCTTCAGGATTAAATATAAACTTCTCTGTTTAGCTTTTAAAGCCTGTTACACCACGGCCCCTCTTGATCACTGCAGCCTTCTTACATTTTCCTCTCCTTTAAGTACCCTACAATCAGTGACACTGGCCTCCTTGCTATTGTTTATACACAGCATTACATTTTTTGACTTCTTGCATTTCCCTAGGTTGTCCACTATGTATAAAATGCTCACTCTTCATCTCTGCCTCTTGACTCACCAGGTTTGCTTCAAGTCTCAGCTAAAATCTTACTTTCTGCAGGAAACTTTTCTTAGTTCTCATTAATGCTAGTGCCTTCCCTCTGATATGAACTTCAATTTTTCTTGTATACATCTTGTTTGTACAAAGTGGTTTGCATGTTGTCTCCCCAATAAGATTTCTGTTTTCCTCTGTATCCACAGTTCCTGGTGCCTAGTAAGAGCTTAATAAATGTTTGTTGACTGGACAAAAATTATTTTGCTAAAGTCTTATTTTTAGGGACAGCTAGATGGTACAATGGGCACAGTGCTGGAACTGGAGTCAGGAAGACTTGTGTCCAAATCAAACTTCAGATACTTACTAGCTGTGGGACTCTGGGCAAGTCTGCCTTAGTTTGCCCATCTGAACAACTGAGATAATAATAGCACCTACTTCCCAGGATTGTTAGGAAGATGAAATGAGACATTTGTAAAGTGTTTTTCAAGACTAAAAGGGTGATATAAGCAATAACTGTTATTATTATCGTAATTATGATAATTATATAATATGACAATATATTATGTTAGTATGTGATAATTATATAATAATAGTTATTGTGATGATGATTAATATGATTATTACTGTGATAGCAATTGACATGTGTGTGTTCTACTGACACTAGGCTGATCCTGATGAAACCAGATAAAGGTTTCTCAACCTTTAGTTTTCAGTCAGTACTTAAGTACTGGATTTGGGGCTACAAAGAAATGAGCATTGTATTGCTGTCTTTTGATGTTTTTAAGAATTGTTATTACACCAAGGAAATGTTCAAAATTTTTAACTTTTTTTTTTTTTTTGCTTTTTGGTGAGGCAATCAGGGTTAAGTGACTTGCCGAGGGTCACACAGCCAGTAAGTGTTAAGTTTCTAAGGCTGGATTTGAACTCAGGTCCTCTTGACTCCAAAGCCAGAGCTCTTTCATTGTGCCACCTAGCTGCCTCCCAAAATTCTTAACTCTTAAAGAACACACATCAATGACAGCTAGAGATATTGTAGCAGCTGTTAGAGTGGGAAAGTGTTTCAAGAATTCTTCAAGCCCACGATAAACTTGGTTCAGTCACACAAAAAATGAAGCAAGATTAAAAATTAAAAATAATGTCAAGAGGTGACAAATCACTGCTAATAAATACTCAAAATAAGCAAAGATTTTTAAATCTGGGAATTGGAGAGGTAATTATTTATTCCTCCACAGTGTTATTTAGGCATCTTAAAGCTGGAAGAACAGTGAGACTAATAAAAAAAAATTCTATTAACCATTGCTACGAAGAGAAGTTGTTTGTCAAGGGTAGGATGAGAACAAAATGTAACTTTTACTGATGAAACTCACTTTTGCATTCAAGAATATACCAAAACAGCTGTTAGAAGTCTAAGTAAGCATGCAAGATCTGAACATCTCATCAGACTGTAAATAATTCACTCCAAAATAACTATCTTGGACATCTTTGACTTCCTAAACATCTTTTTACCATTGAAGGAAATCTCTGATAAATATGTTGATATATGGAGAAGCAGAATTTTTCTGGAATTATAAAGATTCCCAAATGGAGATGGAATACTGATAACTGGATCACAGAAAAGGAGTTAGAAGGGACAGTAGAAGGGACAGCCATCTAATCCAATGCCTTCTTTTTATAGGTAGGATACTGATGCTCAGGTAATCCTATCATCTTCAAGATCAAATATAAAGTCCTATTTGGCTTTTAAAGCTTTAACCTGACACTCACATATCTTTCCAGTGTTCTTACGCCTTACTCCCTTCTACGTCCTCTACAATTCAATGATGCTGTCTTCCTCTTTGTTCCTCATACACAACATTACATTTCCCAACCCTATGTATTTACACTGGCTGTCCAATATGCTTGGAATGCTCTCCTTGTCTCTGCTTCCTGACTTGTCAGACTTCCTTCAAGTCTCAGCTAAAATACCACTTTCTGTAAGCAGCCTGTCTCAGTTAAATGATTTACGCTGGGTCACACAGGTAGGAAGTAGTACCTAAGGTAGGATTTGAATTTAGGGTTTCCTAATTCCAAGTCCAGTGCCCTATGGATTAGAGAGAGTAAGGAATCAAGGAATAATCCAAGGTTGCAAAGTTGGGTAACTGGAAGGATGGCGATGTTATCAGCAGAAAGAGAAAAGTTGAAAATAAGAATGGGTATTGGGAAAAATAGAACGAGTACAGTTTTATACACGCTGATTGTGAGATGCCTATCAGATATTGATTTCAAAATATCCAATAGCAGTTGGAAATGTATGGCTTTGGCTGAGAAGGGTGACTAGGGCTAGACACACAGCCTTGGGAATCATCTACATAGAGGTGATCATTAAAGCTGTGGAAGATGAAGAGGCTGTCGAGTGAGAGTGTAGAGAAGCCATAACATTTACAACCTAAGGAATGGATCCTCTTCCAATGGAACACTGCAACTTGGCCCTCAGAGAATCAGAGCTCTCTCCTTAACTCTTTGCTATAATCACTTAATAACCCACTGATTACAGCAAGTTTTTACTCTAATTTGCTCTCACACATGGAATTGTATCCATAAATTGGGAACCTTTCTGATGCATCTTCCATAAAAGGATAGGTTTTTTTTTTAACTTTTGACTCATTATTCATGAGAGGCAACAAACAGAAAACTCTGATGGAAGATATCTTAATTTTATTACAAATAAATTTTTTTCTTACTGTTAGAATTGCTTGAAAGTGATAGAAAATGAAACTGAATTACAGAGTTATTAGGTAATGCTCTTAAATAATGAAATTAGGTAACAGTCAGGATACTAGGGAAAATGTAGTGGCTTTAGCCTTGTATATTCTTTTCTGTGCTATAACCTTGTACATCCTTTTCCATCTTGAAAGAATACTTTTCTGTTTTGAGGAGAATGGAAGAAAAGATGTTTAATCATTCTTTTCTTTCCTGTTCTCATTTATATGTAGTATTAGAAGTATACAGACTACTTACCTTTCCAAAACTACCCTTCCCCAGGACCATGAGAAAATTAAAGTCTGTGAGTTTGACTCTGTCAAGGTTGTTGGATGGTATATTGGATTTTCTGTCATCTGATGGACTGATCACCTTGTTACCAGCAGGGCCAAGCTTGGCTTTCTAAACAAAAATCAAACATAAGAAAATTAATCCTATTTCTAATAAAAAAAAATACTGTAACTAAGGTTGACTGCTTTGAGGAAAGATGGTCACAGGCAGAGGAATTGATATCAGTTCAAACGCCAATGGATATATTCACCCACAAAGGCATTCTTCTTATATAGAGATATATAAAATGTTCTACTTTCCAATCAATTACACAGATATTTTTCTCTTTAAGCACTTAAATGATAAAAACAATCCATCACAGAATTATCCTGCTAAGTACAGGCCACTCTTGTTCTTGACCCAAAGAAGTTTCTTCTTAGGAAAAAAAAAATCATGCTCTTGGACTCTTATCAGGTTAAAAGGGGAAAGTAAAGATCCTGGATTTGTGATTTCATTGGTATAGAGGTTTCTTCAGTAAGGAAATTCTTTTAACCAGTGCAGATCAACTTTCCCTTGGAGAGTTGCTTCCACCAAGGAGAAGTTTAGCGACTTGCCCAGGGTCATTTAGCCATTTGATGTCAGACAGGGGAGAAGGACAGAGACTTTAACCTAGCTTTTCTTGGTTTCCAGTCTGGCTCTCTATGTTCCCTTTCATGATTAAGGAAATAGAAAAGCAGACTGAAATTTTTCTTATTGACATATTTTTATATTTGAAGTTCAATCTGTGTAAAGAGCATTCTGCCAGTTTATATATCTCACTGTATATATTATGTATAAGTATATACATACATAGATACATATATAAATATATGTTAATTAAAGACTGAACTCAAGCAAATCATAATTCTAGAATTGAATTCAACAATTTTATTGGTTCTGCACAATGTAAGGAGAACTTTATGAGACTAAAAAGTACCTAAATTCTGAAATACAAACATCTGGAATTATAGAGATTCCCAAATGGAGATGGAATTTAAGTTTTAAGAAAGCAAGAATAAGACAGACCCTAGAGAAACCAATCTCTTGATTCTTTCGCTTGCTAAAGCAGGTAAATCAGGATCATCACATCTGTTCTGCTCCATTCCAAAGACAAAGACAAAATGTAATAGGGTATCACTGTTGGAGGCAAGATAACTCATACATGAGCTAAGACTAAGATCTCATAACCACTACACAAACTAGGGAGGCCTGATATAGGGGGATGAATACTCCACAAAGGGGCACTGAAGCACTGGGGGGTCAAAGTAATTGAATCATCATGGACACAATTAAAGAGGTGGGAACTAGCTCAAAAATACTACACTCTCAGGTAAAGAAGTAGATTGTATGTGCAAATAGCTGCCAGATTCATGAACCTAGAAAAATTATTCCTAAGTTGGCCACAAAGAGACTAAGAAGTGTTAGAAACCTCCTGTAGAACCTTCCAATAGCACAATGTGCTCCTTTGTTGTTGTTCAGTCATGTCTAACTCTTTGTGACCCTATTTGAGGTTTTCTTGGCAGAGATGCTGGAGTGGTTCGCCATTGTCTTCTCCAGTTCATTTTACCGATGAGGAACTGAGGCAAACAGGGTTAAGTGACATGTCTAGGGACACACAACTAGTGTCTGAAGCCAGATTTGAACTCAAGAAGATAAGTTTTCCTATTCCAGGCCCAGCACTCTATCTACTATGCCACCTGGCTGCTCCTAAGGTTTCTTATAAATTGTCGACATGTTTCCAAGATAATAGCTCAAATTTGCTCTTGCCAAGACTTAACACGGTGTCATGTTAGGGATGTCAGTGACTCAGTGGGCATGAAAATTTTGGGGGGGTTTTATGAGGTGAAGACATTTAAACTGTAATTCTTTTTGTAGGCAAAGACGCTTATTTTTCCTTAGCTCTTTGAAGAGAGAGCATTGAGGACACCATGAAAGACTGGTGATTCCACAGGTTTGAGAACTTTCTCCACCAATGCAGATAGTAATCCATTTATAGCCTATTTAGTTATTTGAGGATTAGAGAATTTAAGTGACACCAATAGCCACAAAGCTAGTGTCAGAGGTGAGATTTGAATCCATGTCTTCCCAAGTCCAATTCTAGCATTCCATTCACTATGCTAAATTGTGAACAAGAGCATGCAATTTGGACACCCCCCTCCCAACTCCAATCCAATGGGATTATATTAAACTATTCAAACTCTACTGCCTGATTCCCTTTATCAATCAACAAGCAATTATTAAGCACTTTTCATGTCTCAAATGTTGTGCAAAGCACTGGGGACTCAAAGAAAAACCAATCCCAAACTTCAGGGAGCTTACAATCTAATGGAGACACACATATATATGTATGTGTATATATATATGTATATATATATATGTATGTGTATATATATGTATGTATACATACATATATATACACATACATATATACATATATATACATACACATATATATATATACATACATATATATGTGTCTACATAAATATAGAGTAGATGGAAGATAACTGGCATATGAAGGGACTTGGAAAAGCTCTTAGAGCTAAAATTTAGTCTTAAAAGAAACCAGAAAAATTAATATTTGAGGGTTGGAAGAAAGAGCATTCCAGGCATGGGGAAAAGCCACTGCAAAGGCATAATCCTGGGAGACAGAGTGTCATATATGAGCAACAGCACATAGGATAAAAGATCAGAGAGGGATAAAGTATAAGAAGATTGTAAAGGTAGGAGGAGGTCAGGTGAGAGTCTTAAGTGACAAATAAATGACTTTCTATTTGATTGATCTTGGAGGTAATAAGAAGCTACTGGAATTTACTGAATAGTGGAAATGATATGGTCACTCCTATACTTTAGAAAAATCACTTTGGTAGCTGAATAAATGACGGATCAAAAATGGGGAGAGACTTAAGGTAGGGAGACCAATTAGAAATCTGTAGCCCAGGTGAGAGGGAAGATGCCTTTACAAGGATGGCAGCTGTGTAAGTGAAGACAGGGAGATGTGGAAGGAAAATGCAATGATATGCTAGGAGGGTAGAAGAAAATTGATTCAACAAAAGACTGGACATATGGCAAAGCAGGCAGTCTACAGCCATGGAACAGAGGTTTTCTCTGTGAAACGCTAATTGTCTTATATGTGGATCATACATGTATACTTGATCTCATTAGTACTATGCGCTAAGAAGAAAGTAAGTTAACTAGTCCAGATAAGACATTTATGCCTACTGGGGAAAGTGAAGCCTTTTTCAGTTGCTCTTAATAGCTGACATTTACGTATCACTCAATGCTGGCACTGAGTTGTGAAACTTTGGAATTCAGTGCTCTATATCTTTTTAATTTTTTAAGGAAACAGGAATCAAAATTCTTCTGCCTACTTTTGCCATGCACTAGATGACCAAGAACAATAGAATACTTATCTTGTTTCCTACTAAGGGTTTGGCCCTTGCAGCCATCATTGAAGGAAATAACTCTTCTTGAGAGCTGGCCATGTTATCCATATTATCATAAATACTAGCAACAAACCAACTGCCCCCAACAGACAAGTAAGATGAAGAGTCCTTGAATCAGAAGCATTCCCCAAAACACTACTTCTAGCTTGACCCAAAGAGCCAGAGTCCACGAAAGCCACACTTGTGGAGATCTGACCTAATAACTGTCTCTATATATGCTGTAGGTCCCACTCCTTCATTATATTGTAAGCTCCTGGAGGAAAATGATCATCTTTCTTTTTCATATTTGTATCCACAGCACTTAGCACAGTGCCAGGCAGATAGCAAGGGCTCAACGAATGTTTATTGGGTAACTGATTGATTGACCTGTTCAGCAACTAAAAACCTAGAAAAGAAAGTTCCTGCTGTCAAAGTTCTTGGTACTAATCAATTATCAAATAGTTGAATATCGGCTATGGAACAGAAGATGGAAGGTAACTGACAGATGGGGAAGACTAGAAAAGGTCTGATGGAAATAACATTAAAAAACATGTATTACCAGCTGCATATTAAGGACCTGGGCCTTTCCATCTGACTTGTAGCTGAAATCTGTCATAAGTGTTGTCTTCTACTATTGGAAAAGTGAGCTGCTTGAAAGCAGGAAATGCCCAGCTTTTATATTTGTATGTCCAGAGTTCAGTTACTTTGCACACAGTAGGCACTTAATAAATGCAATTTCATTCATTCATTCAGACAATTAGGTTTCAAAATCTATTGTCTCACATCTAGGTGTATTCAGTTATATAACCAACAAAAGTGTTGAAGACTGATGATAATTCATTCCACAAGTATTTATCAAGTGGTATGTATGTAATGCGGTGAATAGAACTCTGTACCTAAAGTCAGAAAGACCTGAATTAAAATCTGACCTCATACTTACTAGTTGTATGACCCTGGACAACTCACTTAACTTCTGTCTGCTTCAGTTTTATCAATCGCAAAATAGAGATAAAAATAATAAGAAGAACACATACATACCTCCCAGGGTTGTTATGAGGATCAAATAGGATAATATTTGTAAAGCGCTTAGCACAGTGCCTGGCACACAGCAGGCACTTAATACAAAATAGCTTTTTTCCCTTTCTTCTTTCCTTCCTTCTTTCTATCCATCCTTCTTACCTACTGTGTGTAAGGCACTGTACTAGGAGCAGGAGATACAAAGATAAAAATGATACAATTTATTCCCTGAAATAGCTTTAGGTTGTATGGTAAAACAACATGTATATAGAAAAGTAAATATAGGGGCAGATAGGTGGCACAGTGGATCCTGGACTCAGGGGGACCTGAGTTCAAATTCGGCCTCAGACACATAACACTTCCTAGCTGTGTGACTCTGGACAAGTCACTTAACCCCAATTGCCTCACCACAAAGAAAAAAAAAGTAAATACAAAATAAATATACGGTAATTTCAGAGGAGGGAAGAGTCCTAACAAATTCGTTCTACAACCTTTCTAAGAAAAAGGAATCTCAGATTACAAATGAAGGACTCACAATCCTTGGCTAATTGTAAATATGGAACTAGAATGTGGGTACCACACAAATTGGAAAAAACTGGAGAACTTCCTGAGAAACATAATTATGTCTACTGAACAAAGAAAGCCCATTGG